AGAAGTCGATGACCTGAGCCACGCGGCGCTCATCAAAAAACAGCATGGGAGTTGGCCATGGGGTCGGATGGCATGAGTGGGCAGCCTTCCGTGAAGGGCAGGGAGTTGGCATGAGTTCGTTTCGAGTTCCAATCCAAAGATTCCCATGCCAAGTACTTTCACTATCTTTCACTGGTGTCTCCAGTGAAGAATTCCAGTGGGTAATGGGATGCCATATTGAAACACTCATGTATTCCACCATGCTGCCATGCTTACAACATCTTACAACTCCGGCCCATCGAACAATCACATTGACATGGTATCCCATGCTCACCGGGTCCCTTATTGTTGCTAGCGATGCCCATGCTCACCTTGCATTGCCAACGGTTCGACCTCAGAGTCTGAGTCTCCAACAGTAGGTCTCTTGTTCTTTGCGAGGTAAGCCTAACAAGAAGCTATTAGTAGCAGGGGTAGCGCTACTAGTAACAAGGGCATTACTACTAGTAGCTTGCTACTACTAGTAAGGCACCGTGCTTCTAGTTACAAGAAGCTACTAGATGCTACTAGTGGTCTCTTGTTCTTTGCGAGGAAAGCCTGAAAGGAGGGCAGTGACGGTTCCGGAGGGCAATACGTCGTGCAGTGCAGATGGGCATCGACCAACAAAAGGGTACTTGTGGTATGCCCTATAGCTTTTGAATGCGCTTGACTCTGTTTGATAAATAAATCTTCCGCAAGTGTGGATCTTTTTTCGTTCTTGTTGATTGGTAAGCGTACTTTCTTCAGCCAACCCCGGCATCCCGCACGGCATTGACATCTTGCCTTCAGCGTTTGCGAACCTGGACTGAACACTAGGCAATGAAAAGGCAAAAAGTTTTCTGTTCTTCAGCTGACCTCCCATTGGCACACTTTTCATGACAAGCGTGTTTTCTTAAAATTCTTCAAATCCATCTGCCTGAGCTATCTTTGATCTCAAAGTCGGGAGCCTCCCAAACTCAAATGAAAGCAAGTCGTGAGCTAAGGCAAGCTGCGCCTCTTTCCCCACGAGGGCAGCCGTTGCCGCGGCTGTTTGTGCCTCACTGACCTTCTTCCTGGCACAGAACTTGGGATTCGTTTTGGAATGCTTCTCCAAATGGGCAACATTATCGACATTCCAAAGCATCCTAATAACCTGGTAGACCGAAATGTCTATGGAAAACCATGGAAAAGCGGTCCCTGCACCTGAGCAAGCATGCTGATCTTGAAAACTTCACTCTGAGGCCACAGCATGATAATGAACGTCGCGATGGTGAAAACAAGTGGCAAGAAACCCAAAATCTGCCTCAGCCACAGAGCCAATCAAACTGAGCTCCTTTCACCTGCATACCCTTGCGACTCATGACACTGGGCAGGACACTCAGGTACAATGCCAGCAAACACCTGTGGCCAGCAAGCACAAGATCTACAGTCACCGAGAAAGCCGATATGTTCCCTTGTAAGTGACTTTGCAAAGTTCCCTACATGCTTGATTAGTCCAGACGCAAACCAGAACCTTTGGGCAAATATTCTGCGCCAGAAAGAAGACTCCAATCCTGAGCAGTGTCTTCAATGCATCGTAAAAGCCAATCCTGAAGTCACAGAAGCATAGCGATCGTCAAAAAAGAATGGATCGTCAAAGGTAACCAGTTGCCACAAACGAAACAGTGCCATCGTTACATCTGAGATACGGTGCAAGCTGCTCCATTGTCCTTGGGCCGCAACAAATGCTCAGCTTCCACGAATTGCTTCGTTTGCTTTGCTCTTGAAAAGGAACTTGCACACACGCGCATGTTCACGCAGCTTGGGCATAAGACCTATAGAAATTCCTAGAACATCCTAGAACCAACCTTGCGGGGAGCAGTCATTCATGAATACCGAATACCGTAATATACCGTAATGTGTTTTGCAGGCCTGATTTGGGGGGAAGCGAACAAAGCCACATGACCCTGCACAGCCCCTGCAAAAGCTGGTCGTTTTCGCCGAGCGGCCACTGGCGAACTCGAAATCACAACATTTGATGTGCAGAAGGTGCTTTCGGAGCCAAGGTGGCTGCAGGAGAAAAAAGGTGCTGTCGGCAATCAAAGGAGAAGACGACGCAACTCACCATGGTGCGCAGCACACCCAGCGGCGCACCTTGTGTACAGTACAGTACCAGTAGGTCCCAGGGAACTCCCTTTCACTCCCGATTTGGTTTGATTTCCTCAAGAAGCCCTTCCGCACCTTTAGCGGCCTGTAGCTGGTGACCAAGACATACAGTCTGGCAAAGGTCCGGGTCGCTTAAACACAATGAAAGGCCACAAATCAAATCGCGAATGTACAGCCTCATGTCAAACTTCTTGCCCCCGACCAATAATGGGTTGCTGATGTAACCTTGAAGCCGTGATGCCAGGCAAGTCACCAGTCTATCAAGAGGTCTGGCCATCTAGGATTCCAGCGCGAAATGATGTAGGGCTCGCGAAAAGGCAGGGGCTGCCCCTGTTGATTCTTCTCCTCTCCGAATTGACAGTCGCTGTTTTTTCAGTTGATGCTGCTCACGATACAAAAAGCTCTCCTTCGGTGCGTTGGACCATCTTTTGAGTTGGTTCCTTGGAGAAGCAACACATCTGCTCAAAGGAATGGATGGATGGGAGGGAATGAGGGAAGGAGGGATGGATGGAGTTGTGCTGTATTAAGCGTCCGACATCTGCTCTCAAGGGGGGCAGATTGCGAGCCCCAATGCGCCAGCCATGCGGCAGTCTGAGTATCGGACAGTTTGGAGACGAGGAAGATCCCACGACCCTGCGCTTTGCCTTCATGCAAGTCACTTCACTCCAAGCCAGATTCTTACAGCTTGACAGATACAAAGACCTCAACAAGAGATGGGGGGCCTGTTGGTTTTGCGATCCATGTGGAGTTTGGGCTCTTGCGAAACTCCTGGAACCGCGAAACCCGCGTCGGATGGCACCGTTCCAGCCTTCCTCTCTTGAAAGGATAGTGAGAGTTGCACAACCAAGACTGAGACAAAGTGATAGTCTAGTCATGCTGCTTTTCTTTGTTAGCAAACTTTGCCCCCGCTAGAACTGCACACAAGCGTTCAAAGAATGAAAGAATGGCCTACCTCCACAAAGATTGCATAGTCATTTGGCAACGAGTAGGTCCTTTGCATTGGCATGGCCCGCGCTGCTCAGATCTTTTCGAGCTCTTTGTCAATGACATGTAGTTGCTAAATTAAATGTTGCTAATTGAAGGAAAGTGTCGCAGGGACCCACTCTGGTGGCACTCGATCCTGAGCCATTCCAGCACACTTGCAATGGTTCAGATCTTGATTTCAGAGATGGTAAAGCAAGGCTTTTAAAGGAAAACACCTCATCTTTCTTGAATTTGATTTGTGAAGCAATTCTGTTCTCATTTTTCTCCATGTTTCTACTTGAGGCATCGAGAGGTTGGGCTCCGATTGACCTTTCTTCCGCGCAGCGAAGGAAGCGAAGGAGCTGAGGCTCTCCTGGAAGAATCGAACTTGCTCGATGACGCAACTCTGCAAGTCACTGCTGAACAAGTCCAAGCACAGAGAACGTAATGATTTCGGCCAAAAGCAGAAAAGGCGTGTCCAGAAAACGCTCCTCCGCTTGTTCCTGCCCACACGCGGTGCGTTTTGAACATATGACTCTCCTCGGAAAACGCACCGCCTGGAGCGCCTGGCGCTCACGTTCACGCCGGTACCGCTTGATGTTGCGGGCCATCAGGTCCTGCGAATGTGCTGCGGTCCGCACCGAGTGGCCAAAGGAAAGTGGTCCTTTCGGGTAAGCTCATAGTGGTTGGGAAAGTGGTTGACCACCTATGACGAGCAAACTGTGCAGCGATGCAGGTGGCTCAAATTTGCTCAAATGGCAGGCACCTGTCCATCTCGAAGTCTTTTTGAGAGAACTTCAGGATTGAAGAGGCCTCTGACCTCGTGGCTCAAATTTCACATTTGCATTGTCGGGTGCATGCAATCGATTGCCAACCTTAACATTTGGGCACGTTTCGATTCGGGCACGAGGGCTCCGACGTTGTGAACTGAGGCCCAATAGATGTCGAAGTCCTTGACAAGGTGCAACAAGGACCAATAATAGGTCCAATCCACTGGATACAACCAGCGGCGAGGCTGCCTCGTCTGTCGAGCGAGTCCACCCCAAGCGCTCGAAGTTGGAGATCCTTGACTAATTCAATGGCTTTGAGAGGTCAGGCTTTCAACATCTATATAATCATATCTAATCTGCTGCGCCCAAGTGGAGCATGATTACAAACACATTCCACTCATTTCTTCAGTTGCAAGCGGAGGATGCTTCGTTCAAAGAACATCTTGCACCGAACCCATCAAGGGCTTCAAGCAGGGCAACAACGAACCGCTGAGTGTCATTATGTGCGATCCTCAGCACGAAGGACAACACGGGACACAGGTAAAACTAAAACAGCAAGTGCCAACTTGATCTTGACGATTGACCCTGCTAGTGGGTGAAACTGGTGTGTGTGTGTGTGCTCTCCTCAGAAGCCCCTCACTCAACACCTGGCATGCATTGAGAAGAATTATCCAACGCTCGCAAAAGACTTCTGCTCAGTCAAAGCACATAACTGTTTGCTTTGTATTCGTGGTGGTGCTTGGTGTGTGGTGTCGGAAACAACAAAACACTGAATACTATTCAACTGCAGCCAAGCGGTTTGTACATGTTTGATCATGTTTGTACTGTAGTGACGGGCGTGTCTCCTTTTTGGCCAGGTGCCACAAGGCAAACGGCAAAGTACCTGATCTGTACGGTGCCAGGATCTCTGTACATGGCTATCTTGCAAGTTGCGTTTTTAGCTCTGAAGCGATGGAAGGTAAGGACACCCACCATGCCTCAAGTCCGTTGTGCTGTTTGGGCTAAATCTAGCTTTTCTAGTAGTTTGCATGACTTTGGTAAGGATATTTGCTGTTCTACTATACTACTATAGGAACAAGAAGCTAGTAGGTTGGAGGCCATCGCTATTAGGTTGGAGGCCATTGCTACTAGGAACAAGAAGCTCTACTTTGAGTTCGCTGACAACATGTTGCAAAGGCTCTTGGTTCCGGTGTGGAGCGGGTCACTGACACCTGCCCAGGGTCAGCATGTCCGTTCTTTTTGCTCTGCCTCTTCTTTCATGTCACAACTCTTGGAAAAACCTGTCTTATCGCCTTTGTTGCGTCAACCTGTCCGATGTCAATCACCGCCGTTACAATGAGTTGCTTCAAAACTGATGTTGTATGGTGCTAACTTGCTGTGAAGCTCCGTTCCCACCTTAATTGCCGGCATTGTCAAAAAGAAAGTTGGCTGCAAGCTCTTCACTCTTATCACATGCCAAGTAGGCCTCCCAAGGATCTCGAAGTATTGACAGTTGGCAGTAACCGAGTAGCATAAAGTTTGTAACAACATGTTGTTTTTAAAGGCTTGGCACGTTGCAAGTTGATTTCATCCAATGCAGCATGTAAGGATCAGCCTGTGCAGCCATCTCTTTCGGAAAACCCAATGCAGCCAGTCTTTCCACCTGAGTGAGTCGTGGGTGAAAACACACGCGCAGGAAAACAAGGATGTACAATGCACACACGACTGAGTGCCGATGTGAGCTGGAAGCTGTCGAAGGTCAAATCCGAAAGCGATTTTTCGGGGGACGGTGGTCGGATCTTGGGGTGAGCCGGATGCCTAAGAAATAACACAGGCTTAGGCAAGCACAAAAGGCTACAGTATATAGTGACTATAGCTACGGACACTCACTTAGAACCCTAATTTTTTCCAAAATCTAAAACCCCACACTTAGAGCCTCTGGAAATCCCACACTTAGAACCTCTGGAAATCTGGCACTTAGAACCTTTTGGTGCTTATGCCAAAACGCACACTTAGAACTTGGTAGCCAATGAACGTCAATGACCAAATATCATGATATTGACATTCTTTAGATTCACAGTGGCCTTGGTGCAGCATCACACTTAGAACCTGCCTCCTTAAGATGACAACAGAAAGGTTATGATGCTTCTGGATGAAAAGCTCGGCATGCATTGAACGCTGATGATTCATTCCTGGGCAATCCTTGAAGCTTCCATCTACATAGTCTTACTTGGGGAATGTGTGTGTCAGAAAAAGGTTGAACTTTTTTACATTTTCTTCATGACGTTCTCCAATTGATCTATATGCCATGGTTGCGACCGATATCCATGTCTATGCTAGGGAAGGGGACAACGTGACTGCACAAATGTCTATCTTCCACGCAGCCGTGGCTTCTTTTTCGCCCCAGCTCTTGAAATCTTGTCTGGTCAACATGGCAAGACATGATTCTCGCCAAAAGTGCAATTCACGATGGCAGCCTTCAGGATTTGATGCTTCTCTCGCACCGTCTGAGACTTCAAATTCAGGCCCAATTTGTTCCTAGCTGTGGCCTCTACTTCATCATTCAATCCTTGAATGCCCGAGAGGCCACAACTCAAATTAACCACCGAAAAAACTAAAATGGATGGATCAGCCTGTGAAGCAACTTGTTCTGGGATTTTGTCGAGTAAATCAACAGCTGTGGCTAAGATCCTCAAGCGGCATCCCTCGGCCGAAAGCCCCCGGGTAGGCACGACCCTATACATAGAATCTTTCAGACAAATCTTACTAGGCTTCTGCGCTTGCATTTGCTTCACAACCAACCTTTTCGCACGCCTTTTTTTGGCACATCTGCTTAAGCATGCGCTTGTGCTGCATTCGGAGGAGAAAACTGGTCCTATCTGTTTGCGTTGCAACCTCTTGGGCACAAACAGGCAAAGCACAAACTGAAGGCTGGGTGGCCATAGCGTGTTGGTCAGCATCAGCGATAGGCAGCTTGAAGGAAGGCATAGGTGGATCCGCAGGCGCTTCTAGTCGCTTTAGTGGAAGAGGACGCTTGTCTGCAGGCTGAAATGGAAAACCGTCCACCTTCAGGAATCCTTTCTCCCAATCATATTTCAAGCTTCTGGCATCTGCGCCTAGTTCACGCGCTTCGCCTATAGTCACAGCAGCCTTATACTTATTGTACTGCTTGAAGGCATTCGTCCCTGGGACCTTGGCAATGAAAACCACTGCGACTGCCACCCGGACCAAGCATCTTGGCAACTAGCACTTTGACTTACCCTACCTACCAACCGAAGCATTGGGCAGCAATAAAAAACCAAATAAGGCCAGCGTCTTTGGGGTTGTCTTGGCAGTAGCTACAGGAGGTTGCGCCGGCCCACTTCATTGCCAAGCAAGCGAGTCGCTCGGAGGAATCAAAAACGAGAGACAATTATGTATATAGTATATAGTAGGCAACCACTCAAAAGGTCGGCTGACGTCGAAAAAAAGAACCACTCAAAAGGTCGGCTGATAGCAAGCAACGTAAAAAGATGCTGCTGATTTCCATGTCGACACAAAAGAACCACTCAAAAGGTCGGCTGACAATCAACGTATAAATAAAGCTGCTGCTGATTTCCATGTCGACACAAAAGCATGGGAGACTGAAATGCAACTGCAAGCGAGCAAGACAAAATTAGATGATGGCAGCAGAAAACTCCTGACCGATCCATGTTTTCTGCAACATGTTTGTGTCAACGGCAAGAGTTTCTGCTCCAAGCAAACTTATAAGACGATGCAGACTCATGCTTCTTTTGGCAAGAAAACAAGACGGTGGTGCAACGTGCGTTTCTAGCAGGCAAACATTTTTGGCACAGGCGGGCATTCGAGCTTTTCAACTTGGAACCAAACAGCCAAGAGAGCGAAGAACTGGACACAAGATTATTGCAAGCGCGGTGCCGGCCATCATATTTCCTATGATCGCCTTAGCTTCGCTTGTACTCAGCCCACGCAGGTCGTACTGGCTGAAGCCGTGGATGCGCATGCATTCATCCGGTGTCAGTTCCCGATGGAGCTTGTAGCTCCACAAGCGAGAGCTTGTTGTAAGTGTCGGCACTGTTCCAGTAAGTTTCACAGATCCACGGTTGGAGGTTTGGCTGACGTCCGCCAGCCAGTGCCTCAACCGATGCGCAATCACACATAAATCACTATCGCTGTCCATGCGTCTTTCTTGTCGGAGATATTCGTATTGATTTAGTGGGCCCCATCGTTTTCCTTACCGTTAACCTTCAAAATGAAAGCTAGCTGGAAAACGACGCTTAGCACCTGCCAAATCAGAAATACATGAGGGTTGATCAACCTTCACGTGCAATGAAGCGCAACGAAGCGGCCACTCTCCGCCCCTAAAAAATGTGAACCTCATCGCGACACGGTCGGGTATAATGAACATATACTAACAGGAAGACCAGTGACCAGTAATGGTAATGACCTATAAGGCACCCAAGGTTTGAAGAAGCCAGTTCTGAACTTCACAGAAGGTTTGCGGAATTCTGTTGTTCCTCCCTGGTGCATACGTTCTCCCGTCGTACCTGGACTCGGTTCGCGGTCCCAAGTTCTTAAAATCTAGCAACCCCACTGTTCCACAGGTGGGGAAAAATAACTCCTAGTCCCTTGGTCCTCTGGTCCTCGGGTCGCTTAGTCCTCTGGTCTCTTGCTCCTGCGGTCCCTTGGTCCACCACGCCCTTCTACCTCACCATCGCTGTACCTGTTATATACTGTATAGTTGCCACATATTCCTTGATAACTGCTACTACACTTTACTCCAAATAAACCGGTGTGTTTTAGTTTCCTGTGTGAAACCTTGCCAGCTGAATAGCAAACATCTCCTCTACCATTTACTCCTATAATACTTCCCCTGCTTCTACGCATACGCAGCTTACTAACTCAAACAAGTGGGATTTCCTCACTTCCTCTTGCCACTTCCTATTCCCCTACACAACCGTAACTGCGCACAAACCCACACCACAGGAAGGCGGGATACCATGGGGGATCTGGAGGCGTATACGCACTCATTGTTTGAGGGATACAGTCTTTTCGGAGCCCCCCCTCAAAAAATTACTTTACTTCGAGTGATCCCGTGATCCCCACCATGATATTTCAAAACAACCACGTTGACATCAACCTTGTTGTGCATTTCGCAACCCAAGTGTTTGTCAGTCCAACATCTCAATTACGCTAAACAAAAAGAGTTTCCCTGTCCTGTCGCATTGCAACCAAGATATCATAACCACTCCAGAATAGACTAGACTTGTCTTTTTGCATGATGACTTTGTGTCTCATGAGCAGTTTCTTACTCATGCTGCGCTTATGGTTGTGTGTTTGTAGTTATGTGTTGTCGTGGTGTGTTGTGGTTACGTGTATGATTGCGTTTGTCGTTGTGTGTTTGTGATTGCGCGTTGTGTTTGCGGTTGTGTTTGTGATTCTGCGTTTCTGATTGTGTTTGTGATTGTGTGTTTTGTTGTTCTGTCTGTGGGTGTGTGTTTGTGGTTGTGGTTGTCCTAATGTGTCTGTGATTGTCTCTCTGTAGTTGTGTTTGTAGTTATGTGTTTGCGATTGTGTTTGTGGTTGTGTGTTTGTTGTTCTGTTTGTAATTGTGTGTTGAGGTCCGGCAGGGAACACTGGGCGTGGCTGGTCGTGGCTGAGGTCCGGCAGGGAACACTGGGCGTGGCTGGTCGTGGTTTTGATGTCCGGCAGGGAACACTGTGCGTGCAGGGAACACTGGGCGTGGCTGGTCGTGGTTGAGGTCCGGCCGGGAACACTGGGCGTGGATGGTCGTGGTTGAGGTCCAACAGGGAACACTGCGTGTGGATGGTCGTGGTTGAGCTCCGACAGGGAACGCTGGGCGTGGATGGTCGTGGTTGAGGTCCGACAGGGAACACTGGGCGTGGATGGTCGTGGTTGAGGTCCGGCGGGGGAGGACGAGGAGGAGAAGGAGCAGGAGAAGGAGGAGGAGATGGGGCTGATATAAAATCTAACAACCCTCACCTGACAGGTGGGGAAAAAACGAGCCACAACGGAAGCCAGCCGCTGGAAACGAATCGCCTGCTCTTTTTAAATTATCATCACATATATCCTGGGAAATCGTGAATAGTTCTGGTGATAGGGTCTTGTCGAGGCTTTCAGACTTTTTTCTAAAAAACAACACAGTAGAGGCCTTTACCTGTGCAGAATGGTTCCTTGTGCAAAAGGGCCAACTCTGATATGTGTGGAGGCACAGGACATGGATCAAAATCACCGAGGTACTCGTTGGAGCGAGCGATGGACATGAAGCTGCAAATCTGCTCATAGCAATCCACTTGTGCCTTCAACCATGGAAGCACTTCGGTGCAGTGCCTACTCTCTCGGTCAGGCACTGCAGGCCAAGACAAAGCTTGAGGGAGTCTTTTTCCGGCCTTATCCCTAGCTTTTGCCAATGCGGATGCATATGAGGCGGCCTCATCGATTTCATGCGCCGATTTCATAGAGCTACCCAAAATGGCCCACTTGGCAATGCTGGGGTCATCCGCTGCGTCGAGAAAAGAGTCAACATGGTGAACCTTCCATCCACTGACTGTGGAAATCAGCTTCTCTATCTGAACAACCACCTCTTTCACTGATGCATTGGTGTGACCAATCCAGTAAATTCTTGGCCGCGAAGTCGGCAAT